GCACGGTAGACATAAAATAATTCAGTTTTTTCTTTTTCTGTAAATTGATTACCTTACCATGTTTACCCCAATTTTACACTATGGACTTATTGAACGAAGTGGTTGTAATCGACATGCCAAATACCTTACCGGACCACTTCTTATACAAATCCTGATTTTGACCAATGTGGCATATACTTACGCAATCTTACAGCTAAGTTCTGCCAAAAGGAATGGATATGATTTTTGTAACTTGCATAACCAAATTATCTCCGAGGTGGCGTTGTAGAATATTTCAAGTTTCTCGCACTAAGAAAAAATTAACTGTCGGTTTTCTTTGTCCTCTAGGTTAAACTTAATCTTCTAATGTTACAAACCCTTGTCTCTGGATAAGCTAAGCGCAATATTTTGTAGAAAAAGACTTGTTCTTTAAAATGTTATGAAACTTGTTGCCAAAACTTTTGAATTTTTTGACCTCGAAAAACACGGCACGAAACAGAAAGTGCTTCAAAAGCCACAGAAAATGTCTAGAGCCCAAATTTATGTTTCACGACAAATATCTTAGCCTGAAACGAATGAATAGTCAACTTTTTTTTTCGCAAGTTATTCGAGAATAAAAATTCAAACTTTTGGATTTCAAGCTATTGCATTTAGCAGTTTTATACATCTGCCGTAACAGTGATTTTCGTTTATTTTGACAAAAGACAATTACTAGAACAAGTCGCACCCAAAAGTTAAGGCGTGGTAGCCTGTTTGACTTCCTGGTCTCCAAACAGGAGTGGCGTGCTCGAAATAGGAACTCATCGTTTTCCGATTGGCAAAGTCTTCTTTGCTCACCACTTCATTGGAGTACGGTAAGCCTGCCTAAAACTTTCAGTGGTTTGTACATTTTAGAGAATTCATTATGTTTCTTTTGCCTGAATATATTGAATTTTATTGTTCGCATTCCATTGTTCTTGATGCTGTAATCTTCTACTAAAAATTATAACAAAACGCTTGAGTGCAAACCTGATGGAGCACAACATCAAGTATAGTGATGTTTTCTTTACCATTTTGGGCAAATTCTGGCCAAAATTCTGATATTTTTTGATTGTAAGAAACTCCCTCCTGATCCATAACAGTCGCCAAAATAATTGCAGACAAACTCTGCAATAACATTTCACTGTAATCTTCTGATTCATGAAATCTTTGCATTACCTTCGTTGTTGAGAAGAGAACTGACATTGTATCTTCAGTCCAAGGTTGACCATTTTCTCGATTGGCTAAACCTCCCCACAGATCGACAATAAGTTTTCCGCCTTGATAAAGAGCAAAACTGGCCCCTGCTGATTCCAGACCCATCGAGAAATTTTCTCTAAAATTGTTAGCAACTTATATCTCAAGGTGCTTGATGCAAATCAAGCCCCAAATCAAGTCCCTACCGAAATACATCTTCAATTTCGGCAAATCGAGGCTCTAAAATCCGTCCACTCACAGTCGAGACGGCGCAGACCATACCTGCAAATGGAAATCTGAGTATGTAGATGTTTATCCACAGACGATTAGAAGATGATTTACCGTTAATGCATCTAATAATCACTAATATTCAGCAGAGAATGTATATCAACACATCTATACGCTCCAAAAGATAGGAGAAAATAATTCGACTTCATACACTCAGAAGCACATGAAAACACTAGACATGGCATGGCACAGAAAGCTAAAAGAAAAAGCGTAGTGGAATGATAGAAAATCTGTGTTTATGGAGTGCCTGCAGATTAGCAATACAACTTGAAAAACCGCCAAAAATTCTGTACATGGGATGTGTAAGCTGGTGAATACCTCGTTCGTATTCAAGAGGACTCCCGTCGCTGCAATTGATATTGGGCATCATTTGACACTGATGAATGATCTCATTAAACAACACTGTAACCAATTTTATAGTCGAGAGAACTCTATATCTCAATCCAAAAGCTTATACGAGTATTACTACAAACGGGAATCACTTAACTATAAGAGTACCTACTTGCACGGAATTGGAAATATCATAGAATGTAGTACTGTAAAGTATTTTACACTAGGTTGACCACTGAAATCAGAAACTTTGATCATTCAGCATTTTAAAGTTATTCCCAAACTTCTGATAGTCAGGTCATTTGTTTGATTTTCATGTAATTGATTATATGCGAGATGTGTTTCTGTTGCAGCAAAGATTATTCGTTTTTATCAGTTCCTTTCAAAAGCGTTCAGTAAATTTCAAGTGGTTGATTGTGTGAAGTGATAATCATGATATTCAAAAAGCATTTGAAAATATCACTAATGTACTTGGTTGTACTTTACAAAAATAAAAATTACGTTCGACTCACTAAGGATCGACGTAGAGGGACGCAGAAGTTCGCAGAATAAAGTGATGT